GGCTTGTTTCTCTCAGATATTCTTACTCGCCTCCTTTAGCTGCTGTTGTGCAGCATTTTTTTACACTTTCTTAAATGAGTTATCACAGAGGTGCCACCAGCTTGCCTGATTTGCTCTACTTTGACCTGTGGCGGATCCGTCTTTGAGCCACCTGGAACTATCCCTGTCCAATGTGGGGGCAGCTGCCAATCTCTTCCCACCAAAGTGACTCCTGCAGTCCCTCCACGCTCCCAAAACTTTATGATGTAAAGCTATTACACATTCATGATGCAAACTGAGGGTGATACTTGCAAGAATGTCTGCTGAGACTTAAGTCACCAGTATGATTCCTGTGTTTCCTTCAGGATGTGTAGCTGCCCATTAAGTTAGACTGACATCAGTTAGTGATCTCTCTGCATTTTTTGGAACAAATGGCTTATCCTCTGTGGGATTAAGAAGGGCAGACTTCTATGCTGAATTCAAGGATATCCTTTCTGAGTAACTACTGGAAGGAAGAACAGAAGTAGGGGCAAGTTGATTAGAAGTCCTCAGTCCCTTCCTATGATTGCAATCACCATGCTATTTAAGAACAATAATTTTTTTTCCCTTTTTTAAGTTCTGACTCAGCTTAGTTTTATAAGGGAAGAATGATCATGAATTTTTTCATTGTAGTTTTACAGATCAGTTGAATTTTTTCCTGCTTATTCCTGTTACTATCTGTTTATAGTGGTCCTGGCCAATCATACTTTTTTTTAGGCTATCTAGAGCATCTTTGTCTTCCTGTGTGTGGAAGTTAAAACAAAAAAGTTATTAGAGCAAAAAAGCACAAAAATATTTCAGGTTTTTTCCTAACATAGCTCCTTAGAAGGTGGCAAAATGTATTGGTGATAATTCTTTTTTTAATGCAGTTGAGGATACTGTTTGCCTTCTTTGCAACAAGGGCACATTGCTGGCTCGTGTTCAACCTGATGTCAACCAGAACCCCCAGGTACAATTCTGCAAAGCTGCTTTCCAGCTGGATGACCCAGCTGTACTGGTATATGAGGTAGTTCCTTCTCAGAGGCCCAACTTTGTACTTCCATTTGTTGAACTTCATAAGATTCTTACTGGTTCATTTCTCCAGCCTGTTGACGTTCCTCTTCATGGCAGCATGACCCTCTGGCATGTTAACCACTACTCCAATTCTGGTGTTGTGGCAAACTTGCTGAGAGTACACTCTACCCCATCATCCAGACAACCAATAAAGATGTTAAACAAGTCTTGTCCCTTTGTTGACCCCTGTGATACACCACCAGTTACTGCCCTCTAACTAGATTTTGTGCCACTGATAAATATGCTCTGGGGCCAGACTTCCCTCAAGTTTTCAATCCACTTCATTGTCTCTTCAACCCACACATCAACATCTTGTCTATTAATATCTTGACAATGTCAAAGGCCTACATGAAGCCCAGGTAGAAAATATCCACTGCTCTCCTCTCATCCACCACATTACTTATTTAGTCATAGAAGTCTATCAAAGTTGGTCAAGCATAACTTCCCCTTGGTAAAGCCACGCTGACTACTCCTGGTGATTTTCTTGTCCAAAATATTTTGCAGAGTTAGCTGCTCCATTGGTAGTATTAATGTTAAATAAAATTATACGTAGTATAAATAATTTAAATAAAATTATAACTCAGTTGTATAATAAATGATGGATTCAATATATTTTCCTTCTGAAACTACTCTTCTATAATCAAATATATAATAACACAATTATTTTGATGGAAGGACCTGTGATTCTGTGGAAAATGAGGGAGGGAAAGCCTATCAATCAGACAGCAGCATTTCATTAGCTTATACCATCAGATATAAATGCATATCATTTACTTACTGGGAATTACTCAGACACCCTCATCACAAAAGCAATTAACCATCCTGAGGGCATATGAGGACACTCAGATACAAACAGGATGTATTTTCTTCTCCTTGCCTAGTTTCTCTTCTACCAGTGAAGTAGGTGACCAGAGAATTCTTTTTGATTGATGAGCAAAGGGTGGGAAAGTCATTATTAGCTTTAGGTGCTTTTTTTTTTTTTCCCTAGAGTTAACAGTAAAAACTAAAGAAATCAGCTATCTTGTGGATATATTTCGGTGAGGTGGATTTCTTGCTGCTGCTAGTATGTTTGGATCATTCATATCATGGGTTTTACCAAGATACAGTCTGGAGAAACAGATTTCTTGGTAGATCAATAACCAATGTTCTGGCACTAGAGAGGTGCGCAGAATTTTCAAGTTCAAGCATTTCTTCTCTTGCTATCTTTTAAGTGCAAGTGCCATTCCTACACCATTTTAAAGTTAGTTACTGTGGTGGGTTGACCCTGGCTGGATGCCCAGTGCCCACTAAGTCGCTCTATCTCTCCCCTTCCCAGCTGGAAGATGTGATGTAAAACAAGTTCTAGGTTCAGATAAGGCAGTTTATGGGAGAAAAAGCAAAAGAGAAATCAAAGAGAAAAAAATAAAAAGAAAAAAGATATGTTTATTCTCTATTTCCCATCAGAAAGCACTGTTCAGCCACTTCCCAGGAAGCAGGGCTTCAGCACACGGAGCAGTTGCTCCAGAAGGCAAACATCGTAAATAACAAATGCCTCCCCTGCCTCCTCCTTTCCTTACCTTTTATATCTGAGTTGGTGTCATATGGTATAGAATATCCCTTTGGTTAATTTGGGGCAGCTGGTTTACTTGTGTCCTCTTCTATGATCTTGCCCACCACCAGCCCCTTAATAGGGGAGGAATGTTGAGAGACAGTGCTGATGTTGTGCCAGCACTGCTCAGCAGTAGCCAAAACACTGGTGTGTTATCAACACCTTTCTAGCTACCAATGCAAAGCACAGCACTGTGAGGGCTGCTATGGACAAAATGAGCTCCCATCTCAGCCAGACCTAATAGTTACTATCTGGTAATTTCCTTCAGTGTTTAGATCAAAAGTTTTATCTTCTTCTCTCATATCTTAATAAAAAGTGAAATTAACTTAATTTTATAGAAAGCCACTAGTAAATTTTAGAGATAGAATGTAGCTCATTTAAGCTGTATCTTGGCTTAATTTTTAAGTACTTTTCTGAGGAGAAAAGATTCATAACACCTTTAGAAACTTCATCATTATTTTCCTGGTAAAATGTCACATTTTATGGAGTGAAAACTGTATTATACATCTGAAAATATTTTTAGAGTTACATTTGCATTGGAAGATTCAGGATAAGAGTTGAACATATGGAAATATATGCAACTATATAATCAGGAACTAGATACACGTATTGAACAATTGTCTGGAAAGCCCATTTTCTGGAATATATCCTCCTGAGCATGTACTCTCTCTGAAAAGCTCTAGGAAGTTCTTGAGGTAGTCATTAACAATTCAATAAACCTTTTCTCATTTTACTTCTGAGCTGGATAATGGACTCAATTTTGCCCAAAGATTGGGTTCTAAAGGGTATACTCCAAGGCTCAGAAAAAAGATACATCTACTGAAATTCGTTAGTAATTGGATTTCTGCTCCCACTGATTCCTTTGAAAAAGTCCTTACAAAATTATTAGAGATTAAAGTGCATCATCATAATTTTCAAAAAGTTATTTTTCTAATAGGACTTTTTTTTCTGTTGAGATTGGATAATATTATTCATATTACTACCTTTTTTTATTGTTTATTTCTGGGTTTATAACTTAAATTTAAATCAGGCATTCAAAGTTGTTTGTTGTTCTGGGTTTATAAATAGCAAGAGCAAACCAGGATGTCAAGAGAATGTTGCCTCCTGTTTGTCTACTTCCATATCTTTTAAATGGAATAAATAGGTCTATATATTTTATTTTTAATAATTTGGATTTTTATATAGATGTGTGTATATGGAGGAAGAGGAAGTACAAGTTTCCTTTATCTTTGTAGTAGTGTCTACATTTTCATCCATTGAAACAAAGTTCAAAATATTATTGCCCGCATCAGGATAGTTTTAGTAGTCTGATATCTGCTGGATATATCACAAATGCTACTATAAAGGTACAAAATTTTAGGGACTACTGAACGTCTCTTTCTGAAAAAAGAAGAAGATAGTACTTATTATATTGCCTAATTTAAAGATATTCTTCTCAGTTATGAAGCTGTACAGATACCTATCTGATATCATTACTCAGCTCATAATGTGTAAAAAGATAGATAAAGACTATGGTGATAAAATGCCTGAGATGAAATTCTGTATCTTTGAAATTTTTCTGGTGCCTGTCTTTCAGAACCCGCTTTTGATAGTTACATCCTCTTATTAAGAATCTTGTAGCTCAGGTGTAGCATTGGTGAAATATTTTTGTTCATGGTATTGTTCCCTGACATTATTCCTGACCACTGAAAAACATTTTGTGGTCCCTCTGCATTTTTAATTTATTTTTTTTCAGCTTTGAATGAGATTTTGGGGCAGTGAATAAATACAATAAATACATAAATATATTATAGTACACTTGCTGCTTATATGGATCAATAAAAACAATAGGTCTTATTTCATTTTTATTAATGATGGTTTTGTCTTGCTCTGGGAAACTGGAAAAAAGATTTTACTTGAATTTATAGTTCAAGAAAGAATACTTGCCCCTGTACTTCTGATTACTATGCATCTACTAACCAGATCAATAGCAGAATTTAGTAATCTGATTTAAAGTATGTGGGATATAGTAATAAATCATCACAATTTTCCCTGAAGTGTTTATTCTTATGAACAACAGACTAAAATCTAGAATTACTTTAAGGTTTTTCTCTAATGTTAAACTGATTCAAGGATGCCACCTACCTTTGGTTTACCATTTATAACTTCTTCAGAGAATGAACATAGAGACTGTTAAATGACTGGTAAAAACACAATTTTTTGAAATTTAATTAAAATATTTTAAGTTATTTACTCATCTTACCTAAATTTCAGTTTTTGTTTTTAAAGGCTCCAGTACACTCAGCTTTTAATGCTGGTATCATCAAACACCTTTTCAGTATTCTAAAGGGAATAGTCAATATAATAAGCACAGCAAATCCAGCTGTCTTTGAACGTGATCAAACTAAATTTGACATTGTAAAACAAGGACTCTGAAAACATATCACTAAGATATCACTTATTTTCTTGCTTGTTGGCATATTTGCAAGGATTTCAAGTACATTTTGTATTGCACATTGTGTGTATACTCTGCATGTCAAAGGTAAACAGCAAAGGATGAATTACCAAAAAATATATGGTTTTTTTTACAGTTGCGATATGTAAATATTTGCTATGTAGCAAATTGGTTTTCTAACTGTTTCATGTTGTATATTGACAGCTTTGCTCTTGCTCCATTTGTGCAAATTCCCCTAAAACTAAATGTCTTCAATATCAATTGACAAGTATATTTGTTAAATAAATGGCAAGTTTACTTTACCAACTCCAAAGTTTGTGCTGTAAATCATCTCAGATTTGATATGTGAAACCTGAGTTGAATTGGGTTGTGTATTAACTGTTACATACAGCTTGCTTACCTTTTAATTACCTGGAGTTATGAAGTACTTCATTGATACTATAGAGTAGCTATTAGTAGTTGGTTTTAATCCTCTACTGTCAGGGGTATGCCTGGTAAACAAAATTATTTACTGTCTCAAGGCATAGTGTTTTATTTTTTGCTATACATAAATTATGCTCCTATTTGGTGGTTGCTGTTTCTGGTTCTGATTTACCACTGTCAGTTTTACACAAAGTTGCAGCATTCTCTAATTTTCAGTTGACTTAGAAACTTTTAAGAAGAAATCGTGGTAATAGACTACAAGAATAAGATTATCACGTGTTAATACTCCAGATTTATAGTCAGTTGCTATAGCATATTTCATTTTTTTATATATTCTTAAATTGTTGACATTATTAATAACGTCATTGCTACTTCTTTCTCAAAAATGTGATTGTTTCACAGAATATGATACGAGACAGATATAGACTAATCTATGCATGTGTGGCTTTATGGAACTACACTTTTCAATGTCATACCTATCCCATTATCACAGTTGTGGGTGAGTTACAAAGAGAGTGAGCCAGAAACCTTGTAACAAAACATCATTTTACTGAAAAATATTAATTGAGAAAAAACAAATAATAAGCTTTTTCTTTTTCATGTACATTTATTTTGATTAAAAATAAAAAAAGCTTTCTTATCTCAGAAAAGAATTTCAGAGTGCAGAAAAAGGAAAGATTATATCAGAGCAGGTAGATCACAGCAGAATCATCAATAATTTGAGAATTCACTAGAGAGTAGTGGAAAAATTGAAGCCAAAGCTTATGATTTAAACAAAAAAATCAAATTTAGTTGTTTTTTTCATGTTTCACAGTATTCCCTAATGAGTCAGATATTTTCATGGAGTTCTGTTACTTTCTTATTTTTGAACATTGCTAAGAAAGAATGAAAAAGGTCTTACATTTCTCCAGTGAAATGAAGAATTTTTTTTGTCGATCCTAATTGAAAAAAAAGGTGTCTTGAAACTGACATTTTCCTTAACCTCTATGTTCTCTTTTCTGATGAAATACACATAGTAGGGGTTATTTTTGATTGTGCTAACAAAATCTGTTTTAGCTTTCTGACAAAGCTTATAAAGACAAGTACTTCAACTACAAAAAGACAGATGCTTTGTATCAATTTGGTGGTGCTCAAGTAAAATAAAATATCTGAAAGGGTATTAATTAAAAAAATATTACTGTTCCACTTACCAAGAAATATCTGATAATGAGATTAGATTTCTTTGTGTGTTTAGTGGAAAACATGATTAAGATTTCAGAGGATGAATTAATTATGCAATTTTTTAACATCTTGGTTTTCTTACTATTATGAATAAGTATTGATGTTTTTGCTGCAGTGTTATAGCAAATTGTATTTTACTGTTAATAAGTGCAATATAATTTCAAGTTGAATTCAATACTAGCATTATTTGCCCGTGTATTATTGTGGAGTCTTTGTTCTGTTCTGATGTAACTGCACATCTAATTACACATAATTTAAAAGTGGACCAAAAGGAAGACACCTTTTTTTTTTAATTGTGAATGAATATGTGTCAACCTTAAATCTAGGTGTGGATTTCTGTTCAAATTCTTATGTCTAGGCTTACAAATTTTGTGGCTAGAACAGCACAAACTATCAAAAATATTTTTTTAAACTAAGATTAAGAAGATTTATATGTGGTTTTCTCTGCTTTACTCAATTAAAGCAAATCAGCTTTTTCCGTACACAATTTCCCATGTCCTGTCTATCTGTGCCCTCTTGACTCTCTGTACTTGACTGCAGTCCCTGGGCTATGATACACACATATACATGGACACACACATTTATGTATGTGAATATGCCAAACTGGCTGTTCCTCAGTGTACTTATATTCCCATTTACACCTCTAAAGGAAAGTGTTTCTCTTCCCTTTGGACCAAGTTACAATCCTCATAACATATATCAGTTTTCCAACTTTCCTGTCCTGGCTTTAGTTCATAGAAACATGTCCTTCTTTAATTACCGGAACCCCAGTGTAACAAAGTATTATGAGCTTTCAAGGACGTGATATTAATCCATCAGAATGGCATCCACATCTTTAACCACAAACACTCTCAGTTCTCAATTATAACTGTAATTAAAGACAATTTATTAAAGCATTAAAAATTCTTGCATATAAATATTCTGTCATTTTTATCTATATGAAAGTTTGAGAAACTTCTATTATTTTACATAGAGACAGAGTAACCATGATTAGTACTTGGGTAGCAACAATGTGCTTTATTTTCTTTTCTAATAATATGGCTGAATTTTGCTCTAAGTGAAAAATTCATTGTTTTCTTAAAATGCAGCTGAATTTTTTATCCTTCAGCATAAATATGCATACAGTGATTTAACTTACAGGATATTAAAAATGGCCATGTTTCTTATACTGGTCTTTTACTAAGAAAATTACTTTTACCTTTGATGCCTCTCTATCCTACTTGAGCCAGATTACAGATGTCAGGAGAAAATTATATTCTTCACCTTCACTGCATTTACTCAGTGAGGTACAATTATTTAGTTGGTATTTGAAGACAGTTGTATTGCACAAAGTGCAATTAGTTATGTTGCCCTTTGAGTATATATTAATCAAAATCTAATGCAATTATCCAGAACTGTAATAAACATGTAACAACTACATAAATAAGTAAAATTATGGTGCTTTAAAGAAGTCAACAGAGTGATGATACCTGTAAGTTATTATAATTCATATTTCATGAACCAAACCCTTTGGGTTAATTACAATAATTTATTGTAAAATATGCTAAAGTTGCATGCAATTATTAATTAGAAGATATATTTTATTTACACTGATGAAAATCTTATTTACAGACTCATCTCTCAAGTACAATTATTTATTTCTAAAATTTATTTATTTATTTTATTTCCTAGGTTATTCAGATAAATTTTGAAGAATTTGATTTGGAGATTGGTTATGACACACTGACAATTGGTGATGGAGGAGAAGTCGGTGATCCTAAAACTGTGCTTCAAGTGTAAGTCTTTTGCATCTACAATTTGTATGCATTGAAGAATGTCATTAGTATGTTTTTGGTGAGACTAAATAATTATTAGGATCAGGTAAATAACAAAAACTAATCTTACTGAGCTTTTAAAATTACTGAAGGTGACAGTTTAAATACATTTTTACATGATTACTGCTCTAAATTCAGAAAGAGATGAGCTAGACATCACAAAAGAAAAATATAAGCTAAAATTAGAAAATTTTAAAATGCATGGTCTGGACATTCATGTGTAGATGTAAATTTTAGGTGCTATTGTGCCACCTTTATAAGTGTGTTCTCAAATTGAAAGTGTGTAAGAACATAATTGAAAATAGATAAATGGACAACTTATACACAAACTTTTACAATCTCCTAGCAAGGTTAACATGACAAAAGATATGCTATAGAATGTTGACCTTTAAGTGCTTATTGACTATTATAGATAACTCAAAAAAGCAAGTTGTGATGAAAATTACTACAGAGAAGGGCTGAATAGGATATTACCTAAACCACATATTTCAAAGAAGCACTGAATATTGAATAAGATTCTTATCATCCATTGACATTCTTTTAGAATATGAGAGCCCAGATATGTAGACATATAATATACTTAACAATCACTGATTAACTTCAGAATCCATATTTCTCAAATACTTAACTTGTGGCACTAATTTTTGTTCATTCCACAGTCACTTGAAAATATGCAGAACACTGTAATTAGTATTGTTGTCTGTCGTTTTATGTAGCTCCAGTTCTGTTCTGAGTAAATAATTCAATATTTTCAAGGAGAAATGAATGCCTCTTAAATTACATTGTATTTATTTTTTTTCAAATCCGAATCAATTTTATGGAAAAAAAAAACTCCAAACCAAAAGTGTGATTTATTGCTTATAAATCATATTTTGCTTGTAAGGGATTGTCTAATGTTAAGAAAATAATTTTTTTAGAGGCCAAATATTATTTACTTGTTATTTTTAGATAAACTGACCTCCAGCAAGTACGTCATGTTATCATTAGTTCAAATGAGTTAGAAATTAAAACACAGATAAGAACAGAAGGAGATGAGATAAAAGTTTAGTACAAAATGTATTTAATCATAAAACAAAAGAATAGCAAAATTAGGATTCCTTAGAATTATATTCACTATGGTATATTTAATGGAAATGTATTAAAGTGACTTTGTGTATTGCAGTTTTCCATTATTCACCATTAGAATGATACCAAGAATTAGTTTCTTTGAGTACCCTGAAACCAAGGTTTGCCTCTTTCTCTGTCCTAATTTCACATCATTAATAGTAGTAGTTGCAAAACTTTGAACAGAACACACAGCTTTTTCAGGATTTGCAGATTTTTATCATGAATTCCCCCTCAGATTTGTCATTCAGAAGATAGATTATCTGACCTTCTAGTTTTAATTGGTTTTGTAATCATTGTATCCTTTCTGTTCTGTTCTATTTTGTTTAATATCTTTTTCAGTGGTCAGGACAAGGGGTTTGAGTGCACCCACAGTCAGTTTGCAGACAACACCAAGTTGGTCAGGTGTGTTGATCTGCTGGAGGTTAAACAAAGAGGTGAAGCTCACGGGTTTGTAGTTCTCTGGATCTCCCTTTCTCTCCTTTTTAAAAATGGGAGTGATGTTTCCCTTTTTCCAGTGACCAGGGACTTCAGCTGACTGCCATGACTTTTCAAATATGATGGAGGGTCGCCTGGCAACAACATCCACCAGTTTCCCCAGGATCTTGGGATCCATGTTTTCAGGCCCCATAGACTTTTGGCTTTTCAGTTTTGTCAAATAATCTCAAACCTGCTCTTTGCTTACAGTGGGAGTGACCTTCTCCCCCAGCTCCCACCTATAGGGTAGGGGAAAGAAGTGGGAAGCCAGACTGCCAGTGAAGACTGAGTCAAAGAACTCATTTAATACCTCAGCCTTCTCTATATCCGTTGTCACCAGTTCTCCCTTCTCATTTATCAAGGTGGTCACACTCTCCATGGCCTTTTTTTCCTGACCAATGTTAGAAGCATTCATTGGACATTGTTCCAGTGTCAAACGGTGGAAGCATCTGCCCAGGGAAGTGGTGGAGTCACCATCCCTGGAGGTGTTCAGAAGATGTGTAGATGTGGTGTTTAATTACATGGTTTAGTGGTAGACTTGGCAGTGTTTGGTTAACAGTCGTACTTGATGATCTTAAAGGTCTTTTCCAACCTAAATATCTGACTCTTAGCAGGATTTACACAAGTATTTCAGGTGCAATTGCTTTAGGGTAACGCAAAGTCTCTTCAGTGGATTGTAGATGTGTTAATTGCTTCTAATAATAAATTTGAGAAGTGGGAAAATACTGTAATATCTATTTTATAGGTAGTACCAATCATTAAAAATATATTTCTGATAATGCTAGAATTCAATTTCTGCTATTCTTAGATTCCTAAACTATATGGAATATTCTCTCATGTAGAAAGTACCAATTCACCAGGTCTCATTAAAATTTAACTAAAATATTATTACTGAATTACAGTATGCATTGAGGCACAGTAAAATAATATTTTAAATTTTGAGTAATGTGGTAAAACAGTCTGTCCAGCTTGTAATGCATTGAACATGTTAGTATTTATATAAAAGTATTTCTGATGGCAACACTTAGTTGGGGAGAAATGATGAACATACAGTATTAAACTTGTCACAAGTGTAAAGGAATTCTGAAAAATTTTCTTTAATAAAAAAGTTAATTAGAATTTTCAAGTGTTAACATATGATAAGAGAATCTGTTCTGTAAATAACTAGGAAAATAATTTTAAAGAATTATTACTATGGTGATCCTGGAAAAGCAAAAAAGAGGTACCCCATTAATTAATGGGGTATATTATTTTAAGTATATTAAGTATATTATTTTTGTTTACCAGTGGAATGATTATTCTGTGATCAGAAGTATCAATGGTGAAGTTATTAGGATTGAAATGCATAAAAAAATTACATGGAAGATGGAACATAATTGAGTACTGTAAAAAGCATGTAAATCTTCTCTCCTGTGAGCCATGCAGACTTTGTCTGAGATATGATGCATAACAAATAATTTAGCTGTTGTATCATATAATTTTTGGATTTTAAATTTTAAAATAATTATCTTTCCTCCAGAAAATTGCTGAAGAATATTGGTTTGAATGTCTGGTATACATGTTGATAATGTCAAAACATTTATTTTCCAATTTATCAGTTAATCAGGGAACTTATCCAAGTGCTTAATCCTCTAGTTTTACTGGGCACTGCTTGATAGGAAGATTCACAACCAAAAACTGAAGTTAAGTGGCATTTCAATAGAACTATGCTTCCTAAATTGATAATTGGAGTCCTGATTATTCCTACTCTGTGGATGTTAATCACAGAAATAGCTAAACTACAAAGCCTTTTCAGGACTTGTCATTAAGTTTCCCTGAGTGCCTGTGGTTCTGAGCCTGTGTATACATGGACCCAGCAATGTGAGTTTGCTCCACCCTAGGGTGAGCCTGGCACACAAGTGAACTTAAACCTGAAAGCTATACATTTTCTTGTCTCTTTGGTAAGATGACTAATATGAAGGCATATGTTAAGTGTTATTACCAAGGGATAGGGGGGAAGAAGGAAAAGAAATGGTGGATCCTCTTTCATACATCAGTCCCAGGACTTTTTCAGGATGTTTGGAAGTTTGCTTTCAGCAGGTGGTCCGACAGTCGCTGCAGGTTACCTTTAAACGCAATAGGCATCTGGGCACGGATTCCTGTAACACACGTTTGGAAAATCTAGTGCACAAGACATGAAACCCATTCTTAATCTTTTCGTATGCTTGCTGTGTTGGGTGTGCAAGCATCCAACCTCCCATATTACAGACGATCTTCTGCAAATGGAGAGTGTTGGAATCTTCTGAATATCCTCTAATCCAGCCTTCAGTATACTCTCTTAGGAGGAGAATGTATGTCACTAGTATATGGGAGGGGTAGTTCTGGAGTCGTAGAGGAAGAAGTGGAAAACACCCTGCTGAGTATTGTAACTGTTAGGGTTTTTAATAAAAAGAGAGACTTCATAATCACATACTTCCATTTCTACTGCTCACAGTGTTCACTGTTCATCTTTTGAAAAGGAAGGTGTAAGAACTTGTTTCCAGGAGAGAAATCCAAGTAGTGAATCCAGGGAAGAGGAAACCACATAAATCCATGGAAAGAAAGAAAGAATAATTCACAAGTTAAGAACTGTGTTATTATCTTAAATAATTCTTAAATGCCATTTTTTCTGAATCTCATTACTCTGTGGTCCCTTCCCAACTCTCTTACAGGGATCCTGAAGGACTTAAAAGTAGAGCAACAAGTGATTTATGTGTTTTGTTGATTTATTCTTTCTTTTTTAATGCATTTTCAAATGATATTTTTTTCCTCATGTACTATTTAATTGGAAAGTATTTTTTGTCAAAACTATGGATTTAAAAAAATGTGTTTATAATTAATTTCAGAAAGTAGAAATGTTAAAAAATGTGATAGGTATTTATCATAGGAATTATTCTGTCTGACACAACAGAGAGGTAAATATTCTCAATGGCCTTAATATTCAAAAAATATACTGTCAGTTACCAGTTACAATTACAAAACTGTTAGCCATTACATCAGTGTTGTTTCTGAGGAACATCCTGTTAATCTACTAGTTTGGCAAAGACTGAACTCACTGAAGACACTTTCCCTTAGTGCAGGAATGAGCAGTTAATACGTTTTGGCCAGGCATTTACTTGTTCAGTTCTGGCAAGAGGCTTTGTAGTAGCTCCATCTGTGAACACAGATGTGGGAACAGGCATGAATTTCTCCCACAGTAGGGTATTTCATACAGAAACAAGCTAAAAAAGACCAGAGGGGAGAACTAAAATTAACTGCAAAATATATTTAAAATAGCCCATTTGAAGTTTCAGCTATCTTTAAAAAATGGTTACAACTGTGAAAAAAATGAACTAACAGTTTGCACTCTTATACTGTCTTTTATTATGACCAATTTTACAAGAATGAAAAATGTTTTGGAACTTTTCAGCATTCTGTTTCAGATGATAAACTCTTACCAAATTTGAGACAAAGTTTTGGGAAAAAAATGTAATATGACATAAAACTGCAGCTTTCCCAACATTTCCTTTTTGCTATCATATCATTTCATTCAGTGAACAGAATGAATATTTAGGGTTGCATTGACTTGCAAATTTTTGCAAACAATATGAAAAGTGGAAAAAAATAAAAAAGAAAAATCAAGTTTAGTTCTTTCTAATTAATCGCCATCCTGCAACCAACATTAGAAGGTTTTAAAGTTGTGACATTTGTTATTTTTCTTAATGAAGGAGCAGACGTCAGGCTGTTCTTCCATTGTTGTGGTAGAGGTGATGAGGGGAGGAGAGAGAGTGCAGGGAACACATGGACTATCATAATAGTGTTGCTATTTAAGAATAGCAGCTCCCTTTTAAACATGCAAAGCATGTGTTCCAAAGTGAGTAGTTGTATACCAGAGAAATCAAAGAACCAGTGTAATGCCTCATTATGGGCTTCTAGTGCCTTTGATATGCCTGCGTGTACCCGAGTCACGCACACAGGGCTGCCAGATAAGGTTCAGGATTAGGGAAGTTACGTGTCTTTCTGGACCAGCAACTGAAATATTTCAACACAACGTGAGCAGTAGTTACATGTGTTTATAGGCTGCGATCAAATCTGCAGTCATTGGAAACTCGAGAGCTGTCTTGGCTACCCAGCCAGTAGATAACTAAATTAGTGTGAGCTGAATGCAATGAATTTATAAACAAACATAAAAAATGCTAAATAGTTATTTAGATTCCTTACAAAAAGAGAAAAAAAATCTAGTTACTTAAATGGCTTTACAGATTTTTTTTTTCTATCTATAGGTTAACTGGGAGCTTTGTACCAGACTTAATTGTGAGCATGAGCAATCAGATGTGGTTGCACCTTCAAACGGATGAAAGTGTGGGATCAATTGGTTTCAAGGTTAACTACAAAGGTAACGATACAACACTGGAAGCACATGTAACTGTGTACCAAAAATTAAGACAATATTATGAAATGTTTTTCTTTCATTTTAGTGGATGAATTCTATTTCCAGTTCTTTCAGTTTTTAAAACAGGAAAATGCAAGCTGAATTAAAAAAAAAATAGAAAAAAGTTAGTGTATTCTCTTAAGGTCTTATGTCACATGAAACTACACACTTTTTATTTCGTGTGTTCTTACAGCAGTTGGGTTTTGGCATATAGTTTTACCTTTATTTTATGGTATTTAATATTGAAAAATATTAAAATGAAGTAATTCTTTGATTATTTAAAACTAAATGTGTAAAACAAATGAATACTTCCTACATTCTTTTGAAAATTAATTATGCCTATCACAACAAAAAAAACCAAAACACTGCAAGTGAAGAACTCGAATTTCTGCTAAGCTTGAGCCAAGACAAAGGAAAACTTACCTAATAATGTTCTTTATGGTCTTCAAGTGCATAATGCACAATATAAAACAGCTGTTGCCATTTGACATTTTTGGGAGAATAGGCAGTTTTTATAGAGTATGAACAGCAAAGTCAACCAAAGGCTAAAGTACAATGTATACATACATATATATGCAGTTCTATATTATTACAGAATGAGTTATGTTTATTATTTTTATACTACATATAACATAGCTGCATGTAGTCTTGTAAGAATTTTTTTAGTTGCATGGTTTCTGCCTACCACCCAAACCAGATAATAGCAAGTGTGATTATTCATCAGAAAGGGAGAGAGGAAAGACAAAAGTTAAACCAGTGACTGCGTGTATTAGAAATGGAGCTGATGTTGCTGAGAATGGGAAAATGGAGTGAATAAGTGTACTGAGAGTAAACCTGCACAATGTGACTTGCTGGCTTTTTTTGTTTTTTTCCTTTGGCTTTCCATGTCTATTAAGCCCCATAGTGGCATGGCATGAGTACACTTCTTCACTCTTGATATCCAGATCTTGTAGACTAAGATAGAAAGATCTTAGTACTTTGTTGTATGGTGGCCATTAAGAATGAGGATTTCCACATTCCAGCTGTTGAAAGGGGCAAGAAAAATGAATAGTATAAACAAGTTTAAGAATTTGTTAATATAGCAAAACTTGAAACATAGCTGAGTGAAAAAGGAAGTGTTTTAGATCTGAACTCCAAATAATCTGCACAGGTTAAGTTGTTGATTCTATTATTTACAGGATTCTTTTCTGGTAAAATTAATTTTGCTTGCAACAATTTTAGTTTGCAGAAGGCACAGGATTATTGTCTATTCTTATAAAGTACTACTATGTCTTGTTTTATTCATGAGTTACATTTATTCTTAGAAGCTATAGTTCTGCAAGAATAAAATTAATTGAATATGAATAGGTAGAAGGATACAGAAAGGGTGAACATTCACAACAGCATCTCCATATAATCAATTTTGTGATTGGATGCCTAGATATTGAGTCTGTATTTCTCTCTTGTCTTACAATGGTAGTTTACACTAGTTCACTACATAGCACTTGAATGCATCAAGCATTCAGTGGGATAGGTACTTGTGGTGGGGCTTGTTTTGGTTTTTCTTTTTGCTTTGTTTTGGTTTGGTTTTATTTTGTGGGTTCTCCCCCCTCCTCAATCCAGAATATGGGATAATTTTTTTATATAAGTTGCCTTCACTTAGATCCCTGAGAGGATGTATTCCTTAGAGAAATATTGGGCAATGTTCATAAAACAAAATGGGAGGAGTAGCAAGGGCAAGTCAGGTTTGAAGTGGTTGCTATTTCTGTTGTTGTTTTTTCTTTGTCTTGAAGTTCTTTCTTGTAAAGATGGTAGGCTCTGAAAATGTGTAAATGGATAGTATTTTGGATGATCAGCTACTCTGAAATCTAAGTTTTGGAATTAATGAATTGGAAGATGAGAGGAAGTCCAGTGAGGTAAACTAAGTATTTATGTTAGAACAATGCATTCAGGGCTATGACTGAACTCTGAATTCTTTATAGAATCAAAGAATTGCAAAGAATTTTCTCTTTTCAAAGACTTTTAAGAATTACTTGAAAGAATTATGATTTCTAGGAGTGAGGGTCAGAAGACATTTTAGTTTAACTGATTTCATGAATTATTAATTATTAATTTTATGAATTACTCCCTATTACTAAGTTGGACGTACAAGTACAAGTACACCCAACTTACTTGTACATCTCTTGACTACATCAAATTCTATTCCTTTAACTTGTCCCACCTCACAAATTTCACTATCCAGTTAGACACCTAATTAAGGCTGATTCTGTATCTATTTATGTCTTATATGATAAGGTCTTGTAAGTTTCTGCTTACATCAAAGGTACAATTAAATTAGCATTTTAGATTAGATTCGGCAGTTTGATTTTTGAGTGGAATCTTCTTCTGATCATTCCCGCTGTCCTTGTTTTAGTTTCCATCATGAAGCAATCTTGAAAGGCACAAATTACACTTGTTTGAGGTAATTCATAATATGCAATTTTATAGCATCCAACTCCTAATGGGCATTTATCAGGACCTTATAAAGCTTTTCCAAAGTAAAACCACTAAAACATAATTAAATGCTCGTAGATAGTATGGATATTGTATCTTTTATTATTTCAATTTACAGACCTGCTTATGTTGGAGTTAATTACTTGATATTGTACTTGATAACAGTACCTACTAACAGCTAAAATAATTTATCACTAAATGGTTTTGATGCTTAAATATCTGCTTTAGTGCTTCTGAGACTCAGCTAACTGGAGGTAGTGGAGGTGTACGTGCCTCATTCCATCAAAATTCGTAAGGACATTCTTCAATCTAATTGACATTTAGTTCTGAGTCTGGCAGACATTTTTAAAATATAGATTGTTCCAAGTCCTACACGGAATATGGTGGAAGGAAGTAAAGGTCATTACCCAGTGCCCCTCAAAATGGTATACTTGCTCAAGGTGCAAGATAGAAGGTCACCTCCTTTCTGACTGGAATAGAATTGAATATGCCATACCATTTTTAATTATAGAAATAGACAAATAAATTTTTTAATACCTCTGCATTTATCAGTTTTCAGCTGAGTAATTCCTTTAAATTTATGTTATTATAGGAACTAATATTTTCTTCACTTTTATGTATCTGCCATTTGAGACAATCTAGTAAGTTTCTCTGAAATAATAAAATTATTTGTCTACTTGTACATTATTATGTGTCTACTTGTACATTAAGATGTTGCATATGGAGTTATTTTATGGTTTTAATAGCTAGATCCCATTGTAATTATTTAAATATAAAAATAGACATAAGTATTGGAGAGAGTATTTTAAAGTAAATAAGTTTTCATTGTTGTTTTGAAATTCCTTTTACAGTAACCCATAGAATAAAACTAATTAGGAAGGTAGAATAATGAATATCAGGATTGGCAGGACAGAAATACAAACACTGCCTTACTAGAGATGTATTTTACCTGTTATCTCACTTGTATAAGCTGGCTTTGTTTATTTGTTTGTTTGTTTGTTTATATGGTTCAAATATATGTGTAGTTTTATTAAGTAAAAGCATGGAATATTTAGAAACCTGAAATTTTAAGTTAATTATTTTCAAATCATAATTTTGGAGATTTTTTTTTTAATTACTGTTCACAAGTTGCATGAATACTTTGGATCCTTCAATATTTCATGAAATGGTGCCATATTGTCACAGTAGCACTTCTATTCCCAAAGCCATGGTGAAGACGAAAGAAGTACTTATCTAAACAATAGAAGAGAAACAATCTCCAACATATTCAAACACTGGAACTGAATGATCTTCATCTATAATTGAATAAAAAATAGCTGCAAAAAATACAAGACAAACAAATAAAACCATGGTATAGCCTTCAAACACTAGAAACCCAATTTTATGAAATAAGATTTTGGAGAATTGTGAATTTATTTAAATTCACAAAAACCCTTGAGAATCTAGTGATGGAATCTTACAGTTCTTGGAAAACTATACGTGAGCATTTTAAATGCAGTAGCTTTCACATACACAAGCTTCCTTTTGTAACTTTGGACATACGTGCAAGATTAAATTCAAAATATTCCTTATACACTTTTTAAAAAAACCTGTATGACAGAATTTGTGGAATTTAGGAATAATGTAAATAATCATGATGTAAATTAAAATAAAAAAAGGTATTTTAAGAAATGAAATCAGTAATGTAAACACAGTACAAAACTATCCTGTATTAGGACCATGTGGGAAAGCTTAACTTCTGTTTAGGTCAGATTTGAGTTCTCTGAAACAGAAGAAACTATCCTCAGGGCGGTCTAATTCTGTTGGGTCCTGATACCAAACCCTCGGTTTCTGAGCTGTGGCCAAATCTGAGGGATTTTTTTTTTTGTGTGTGGTGTCTTTGTTTTATTTTTCCCTAAATAACTGGCTACATGCTCTTTAAGACTTCTTAAATCAGTATGTTCTTCTGATAGTTGTACCTCCTATCAGGACAAAATCTGTACAATAATACATCAGATATACTCTAATCTAATTGCATAAGAAAATAAAGTTGAGGAAGGTTACATTGACTGGAGTGTAATGATAAGTTGTAGAAGAGGGTTGTTTAATATGCCAAGTTAGGTGGGAGTGTAGGTAAAAAATGAATTTAAAACAAAGTAGACTTGCTTATTCAATTTTCTGCATTGATGATCTAATTTTAGGATATGGAATTTACACTCTGACACCCAGTATTTCAAAAGATTTCTTTTTGCTTAAAGCACGACTTTCATGTTGCTTCAACCACTGTGGCAGCCTGGGGTAGCCTTCTGGAGTTCGTGATCCGCATTTTCATCCTATTTTCCTAGCAGTAAGCACTGAGTTGCAGACACATCTGAGGTTTTTTTGTCCCAGATGGCACAGAGATATTTTTCCATGACTAACTGCTCAACAGCCTTTGCTTTTTTACTGGTGACAGAATACTGAATGATCTGAATTAGGCAGATAGTTTAATCCATTGTTAGTCCTCTAACTAT